GGAGCAACCTGCTCTAGTGGAAGGTGTCCCTGCCCGGGGCAGGGGGTTGGAACTGGAGGAGCTTTAAGCTCCCTTCAACCCAAACCAGGCTGGGATTCCGTGATTCTGTGATTCCATGCAATAAGGGATTATTTTCCATTTGAATGGAGCACCCTTCATCCTGTGTTATTTTCAAGGGTGGCTTCTAGGAGTCGTTCAATACAACGTGGCAACTGCCCAAACTGTCCCAAAGAACTACAAGGACCTGCATCCAGGGCTTCACTACAGACCTGAACGTGCCACAAAACCCAGCACTTCCACACGACATCCCACCAACCCAGCACAGAGAGATTCAGCTCAGACATTTCTTTTTCTTCCCTCTGCAGAAGGGTCTGCTCCCAAAACTACACTTGGACCTTCACTGAGCAGGATCCTACCTTCAATCTCACTATAGTCTTGGCCCTGTTTCTGTTGACGTTAGCAGCGCGTTCCTGGGAGCCGCAGAACAGAACCAGTGCTAGAGATCAAGGTGATGGGATTAAGAAGTGCTAACGCCTGGAATATCAGCTCTCCCTGCTCCAGGCTTTGCTGGCAGCTCTCCTATCGATTCCCCATGGGTGGATCTGCCACTCCCAGGAGCCCCGAGCAGTGGGCAAGCACCAGTGAGTGCAAACCATCCGCCTAGAGGATTCCCTTGCCCGTGCTCCGCGCATGTTCTCCTCCACCGGCTCCCAGGTCCCATCTGCTCAGCAGACAAGCCACAACAGGCTTCCTCCCAACTGCCAGCACCAAACCCAGTTACCTGGGGCAGGGGGGGAAGATTGAGAATGTTCTTCCTGCTTCATACTCACATAAACCCTCTTCCCCCTTCACCCTCAGGAAGGCACAAGTGGGGGGACACAAGCTCACACCATTCGGTGTCACTTCTGTGCCATTGTCAGGACCTCTCTGTCCTGCCAATGTCCATGAGCCCAGGGAACCAGCTGAGAAGGCCAGACCAAAGAGGATCTGGGCTCGTGACTGCATTCAAAGCGCTGGGAAGGGAGAGACCTGAAGCAAAGCTGGCTCTGCACGAAGTGCTCTGGGAGCCGGGGTGGACGCTGCAAGGTACAAGTAATACAATGAACAACACGTCACTGGTTCTCTCTCACGCTGCAAGACTGGCACTAGATGCAGCAGCCAAAAGACAGCTCTGCTCCAAGCACTGAAAACCAGCTCTCCCTCCATCACAGGCCCTCAAGCCACTTTCCTGAGGCTGCTGCACAATGCCCTGTTAGGAGAGACGAGAACCACTGCCCCCATTGCACAGACGTGCCCAGGCTGAGCCTGGCAGAGCTGAACAGAGCTCCAGCAGCCCTGGTCCCGCTCTCCCCTCCGAGCAGCACAGAGCCAGGAGGAACAGCTCATTCTCTTGCTTGAGCCACTGAACATCCCTCTCAGAGCTCCTAGAAAGGCAAAAGCTCCATTTTCACCAGGAACCATCCCAACCTGCAGGAGTTACCTTGGCTGGTGGTAGCTTTGGGTGCCCAGGACACCCTTCCTGGCAGGAAAGGGGCTGGCCCATGGCAAGTGCTGCCAGGAGCCATGCACCAACCAGGTGTTTATTGCATGTGTCAGCACCACAACCCGTGCAGGGAACTGTGCCCCTGTGAACCCATTTCCTCACCCACACAAAGGCACTCGCTGCAGCTGAGATCCATTCGCGGCTGCAGCAATGTCCCTGCTCTTACTGGCGCTCTGACAGCACACACACGTCCTGAGCAGGATCAGCCACTCTGCCAAGCACTTGTAGTAACACAAAACCAGACACAAATCCTGCTCCGGAGAGGCTACATCCCCTCGGGATGCCTGGTTTTGGGAGCACACGGGTGGCAGCTGGGGAAGGACGGTGATGGAAAAGAGCTGGGATACGAGGCTTTTATTCCCTGCAGTGGCATAAACTCAGCGACTTCGCTCTCTCTGTTCCCCCCTTGTCAAGCAGGGCTGGCTTCCAGCAGACACGAGTGGAGCGAGACAAACTCCATCCACATCTGCCGAGAGCTTTGAGATCCAGGGGCATGCTCCAGGTCTGCCCCCGAGCCCCGCGGAGGCAGGTGGCAGCCTAAAGCGTCCACAAGAAGCTGCAGTGCTCAGGCAGGCGCTGCTGCCGCGCGGTACGTACCCAGCCAGGAGCAAGGAGGAGGAGGCACAGGGTCCGGGTCGCTGTCCCCAGGCTGCCGGACATGCCGAGCGCAGGGACGGGTCCAGGCTGCCGGCAGACTCGCTCCCTCTCCTCCGACTTCCTCCTCTCCCTTCGGAGCGAGTCGCGCACCGGCTCCTCTCTAAATAGGCTCCCGGAGGGGGCGTGCCCCGCGCTTGAGTGACAACGTGGGGAGCAGGAGCCTTGGGTGCGGGGGAAACGGCCCAAATTCCCGGGAACACGAGCGGATCCCTGCGGCGCGGGCGCTGCCTCCAGCTCGGCCGCTCTCCGCGAGGGTAAAGCCAAGCCCAACACGAGCAGAGTTCTTCTTCTTTCCTTTTTCCTCTTAGTCCCACAAGCACGAAGCTTTCCCGACACAACCCCCCCTCCTCACCTACACCCGCTCCTTTCTGGCTGCAGGAACTAAGGGCTTCAATAAGCAGAGCTTTGTGGTGCTCGGGGCCGTGAGGTGCAATTCCCGTCCCTGCCCGTGCATCACCCGCACCGGCTGCTGCCAGCTCCAAGCGATGGACGTTTCATGACTTAAAGACTGCTGTGTGAGCTCCAAGGCAATGAAAGGCTGTGGGGTGAAGGCAATAGATAAAGGACAGCAGTTCCCTCTAAGTGCTTTATTTCCACCTCGGGACTGCTGCAGGATATAAGGTATTTTTATCCTGGGGCATGATCCTTTCTGTTTGCTGCTGCAACACAGAACCAGGCTTCTGCACAGCCTGCACAGAAAGACTTCTAGTATATGAAAGAGTTGGTTTGTGTGTTAAAGAGTTGTTTTGTTTATTCCCAAACAGCAGC